ATTGAAAATTTACTCAAAAGGATTTGAAATCATAGTATATATCTCCGAATCTTAGGAAACATCTAGTTTTTAGATTAATTTATACCCTTTTTTGTTTATTTATTGTTAATAGCTTTAATTCATTTCTAATCCTTTTGGTAATTTTATGGTAATAATTTTGTCAAGTATTTTGTTGTTGAAAAAATAAATATTTGAAGCATATCTCGAGTCTATTTAAATATAGTTGCTTCTGATAAACGTTGATTGATAATTTGACTTATAAGATATCTCGTTGATTCTCCTTTTAGTTTGAAGACTATAAACGATTAGACTATCAAAATATCCCTAGATAGCAATAATTTCACGGTCATCATCAAGATATGCTTATTAAGCTCTAAAGCCTTGCTTGAGCTTCAGATCCAGTAATTCAAGTTTTTCAAATGATAAAGTTTTCATGTCATAATAGCCAACTTCTTTATCTGATATTATGTTCAATATATATTATTTCTCATTGAATTTATTCAACATGATGCAAAATTTATCTTTATGATCTGCTAATTGAAAGCCAAATCTAAAAGTATAGTTCGACCATCTTATTTTACGATTATCATTAAGATGAATATAATATTCATCATTACCTACGATACTATCTCCTTACTTTAGCTCTTTAACATCTGTTAATTTTCTCTCATACTCTTATTTTACAATCTATTCGAATTTTTCATCATAAAATGCTTTCTCATTTTATTCAAGATGTGATTCAAGTTAATATTTATATTTCTTTGGCACCTCTTTTTAAATTCCAGTTTCTAAGTCTTAAATCAAGATCTTTTATTATTATCTCAGCTTAATCAATAAAAATCTGCCCTTAATATCTTTATATTCATTGAGATCAACTTATTTACCTTAATACTAAACTGGAGTTAATTCATTATGTTAAAAATAGTTGTTGCTGAAGTTGACATACCTTATAAAATCTAAATTTTTTTTATCCCTATAGTAGAGTCTATTGTAGAGTGTATCAATTTAAAGTGAATCCCCATCCTTCATTCCAATTAAGTTTTGAAATTCATCAATCAATTAGAATGTTCTAGCATCGAATACTAAAACAAAATATGCTTCAGATTTATTTGAGAAAAAGATTATGAATTTGTTTGAGGTAGTCACTATCTTGTGTAAATAATAAATTTTTAAATCAGAAAGTTTATGAACCTTCTATGGAGAACTTTGATCAATGTTTTCGAACTTATATATGTTAAAATCTTCATCTAAAAGATACTCAAATAAATCCAAATACTTGATAACATAATATGACTTATCAAGTTTTTTTGCAATTTCTAGTGTTTTTTTATCAAGTAAGAGAGTCCCAGAATTAGCTTAAAATACAAAATGATTCTTAATTTATGATTCAATAAATTTATGACTACCATCATTGTCATTTTTAGCTTGATATACACTTGAATCTGGATGTTTAATAAACAATTAGTTTGAAGGCAAATCAGATCTTTTATCCTATTTTATTTCTTTTACTTTTTCTTTTTATTTTTGCTTTTTTTCTCCCTCTTCAGAATCTGATTCATCCTCATCTTCATCTTCATCATCATCATCATCATCATCATCTTCATCATTTTCATAGTCACTTTCTAATTCTGGAATATAAATCTTTAATTGAGCATTTTGTTTCAAGGTGTTTAATGGTTACTTGTCAAATTTTATCACATAGTTGTAAATACCAATGTCCATCCATATGTTAAACTCATCAAGGATTTTAAGATCTCTAATATAGTTTAAGTCATCTTTTGAATCCATAATGAACTTGATGTCAAATTTTCTTTATTCTTAGTAATAATCATCAAACCTTGAGAGATTAAGAGAATCATAATCTCGATGGAATATGTAGTCTATGCCATTGTAATGCTGATAGTAGATTTTTCCATCTGCTCTTATTTTAATAGTCTTTAATAGTTGCTGGTTATTAAGGTCAATAAAATCAAGGTTTTATCCATATTGAATCTTTTCGTACTTGTATTCAATTAATAGGATATTTCGTTATGGAATAATGATGTGTTATATGATCTCCAGACCTTCAATACCATGTTTAAGCTTTAATTCAATTTATTTTGTTAGTTTTTCAGCCTAAGAGTAGTCAGATTCTCTAAAATTCTCCAAAATCCATTGATAATCTCTGGGAAGAAGTTCAACATCAACTTATTAGTTATTGTTTATAGCAGAAGTGTTCAGTTGTGTTTCAAGTAAAGCCAGCTAGCCCGAAATTTAAGAGTTCTGTGTGAGAATATCTTTATCCATTTAATTTTAATAAGTGACATATCGATAAATTGTCGACTTTTAATATCAATCTGATTAAATATTTTACTGACCAGAATTTTAAAAATAAAATTAAAAGAGTAAATATATTATTTTTAGTCAAAATCTGCTAGAATAATCTTCAAGGGGTTTTGGGGTTTTGGGGTTTTGGGG